TTTTCGGAGAATTATGATGATAAGTTCATAGTAGATGCAAAAGTATACTTATGTACAATATATTATGTTGAACATTGTTTCTCCTGGATGGATCACAGCCAACCCAATTATCAGCACAGCTCCATGTCCTTGGTCATGGTGGCCACAGCACTTAAAAGAATAAACTTCATAATTCTCAAAATTCTGACCCTTTGCTTTTTTATTAACAGCATTTACTTGTACTTTTACTTTCAATACTTAAGTACATTTAATATCAGAAAATTACTTTTGATACTTAAGTACAATAAATATCAGATACTTTAAGACTTTTACTCAAGTAGTATTCTAATAGTATTCTTTTACTTTTACTGGAGTAATTTTCCAGTAAGGTATCTTTACTTTTACTCAAGTATGGCTTTTGGGTACTTTATACACCACTGCATACACCACAGACACTCGCACACACCCTTTCTCCTTTCTACTTATTTTCTTTATATTTAGCCCCTAAACACGACCTATAAACCCACATCCACGTCTCACTGTCATTAGTGGTTTATAATAACACTCAGAGTTTAAAGTGAAGACTTAACACATTCCCCAATAAAGACTACAATCTGTGGTAAAGAAATATCTATATTTCAGCACTAAAGGAGGAGAGGAGAGGAGAGGAGAGGAGAGGAGAGGTTTTAACACTTCCGATCTGAACACATTTACATGGCAATCTATCAAATAGGAGTAATCATGAAGAATCAGTATATCAGTGCCGTCTACCAATCACACAAACTCTCCCTTTCAGATGGTGGAGGTCAGACCCAGGATGTCCTGTCCGTTCTCAGTTGTCGTGGCGATAGACTTTGGGACGACCTCCAGTGGCTACGCGTTCAGCTTCACGCGGGACTCAGAAGCCATTCACATGATGAAGTAAGAGCCTGAGTGTATTGTCTTCATTTCACTTCTGTTCTTTTATTATGTACCCTTGACATCTTTTTTCTTCCTTCCCGTGCAGGCGCTGGGAGGGCGGAGACCCAGGGGTAGCCAATCAGAAGAGCCCGACTTCTCTGCTGCTGACTCCTGATTTGCGGTTCCACAGTTTTGGGTTTGCGGCCCGGGACTTCTACCACGACCTGGACCCAGAGGAGGCCCGGCATTGGCTGTACTTCGATAAGTTCAAGATGAAGCTCCACAGCACAAGTGTAAGAGAGATCAGGAGAATCAGATGACAAAGGTGGAATACATGGGTAAAAGTGATAGAAAGCCAATTTTACGTAATACATCCTGACAAAACAGGGGCCAATTTGCATCGAACTGCATTGTGGGAGGTGTTGGATCCAGTGTTTTTGGAATTTAGACTATAATAGGGATTACAAAATCTGGATATCTTTCCCTCTACTGCTTCAATTTTGACCTTCTATTAACTCACTCAGGACCTCACCATGGAGACAGAGCTGGAGGCGGTCAACGGACGGAGGGTCAGAGCCATCGAGGTCTTTGCTCACGCCCTGCACTTCTTCAGGGAACATGCTCTAAAGGTGCACTTTAAAGCCCCAGTTTATGACTGCAGTATGATGCCTCATGGTGGACACGTTTATGCACTGGATTATATGCGTGTGATGTATTTATATATGGCTTATATATGTAAACCTTTACTTTGCAAGCCAAGGTGTAGAGATGACATAGAGAGGTTTGCTGCACTGTAGCTCCTAAAGTGCTTTGCTTTGATGGAAGCTAATAACTCGAGTTCAATTTTTGAGTGTTTTACCAAAGAAAGTGTTTCATTGATCCGGTTTCAGGAGGTGAAGGACCAGTTGTCATCGGTGGTGGAGGGAGAAGAGATCAGATGGGTAATCACCGTCCCCGCTGTGTGGAGACAACCTGCCAAACAGTTCATGAGAGAGGCTGCATACCTGGTACGAACACACACACACATGCACACACTATATATTGATGAATCCACGCATAGAGCAATAGATATGAAAGGTTACAAACTTGTTCTGGTCTGACAAAAACAGGCTTTTTTCCTACAGCAACCCACTATTGTTAATTACCTTGTTTTATGAAAAGTTGAGAGATATATGGTTTTGACTGAACAACGACATGTGGCCATCAATGGCTGCCAGTATTATCGTACATACATGTAACTATAAAGGCTCCTGGTTGTGTGACTTCAACTTTTCAAAATCAGAGCCGTGTGTGTGACAGAGAGAGAGGATGAACAAGGAAGGG